ATTTGGAAGATTAATTAGGAAGTAAATGAGATGAAATTTGAAAGGAGGAGAATGGGATTAAAGAAATGGGAAATGTAAAAGAGAGGTGGTTAATTCTTAATTGGGAGAAGTGGGGAGCACGTGAGGTTACTTTTTGCGCGTGCCAAAAGGGGGGGTGAAAAAAATATGGCAACCCATTAAGTTTTTATTCATGTCACTTCTTCCTATTAATTTATTCCCATATAAAAGAAATAAAGAAATAAATGAAGATTTGAGATTGTGGACCATTTTCGCCTTTTATTTTTATGATTTAAAAAAAAAATATAAGGAATGTTGGTCTGGAATTATGAAACCGCCTTCAAACTGCACATATTTTCGTCTTTATTGTGTTTGGGATTTGTCCTTGATGTCCCCAAGATTCTCCATTTTGCCACTCCCACCCCTGCCTTTTACTTTTACAACTTACTACCCCTAAGATTTAAGAATATTCTTATTCTTCTTTTCAAAATTTTTCTTTTTAATTTCGGGATTTTGCAGATAAAGTTTGGAGATTTAAAACCGAAAGAAAAAAAAAATAAAATAAAGTGGACTCCAAGTCTAAGGTGGTGTTGTCACATTTTGACACATCCAATGAGGTAGTAGCTTCAACTTAGGTTTCTAGAAGTTGTTCTTTTTTTCCATTGTTTTTTATTATTTCTTTTACCCTTAGTTTGGGAATAATTTTAGAATTAGTGATTTTAGTAAGAGGAATGTAATGATAAGTGATTTTTTATATAACTATCCTATTTTTTGGTTACATAATTTTTCAAGTGATTTTGAATTATAAATATTTGAAGTTTATAAAAGTTTTAGACAAAAAAAAAAAGTTATAAATAGAAATTTGTGAGAGACAAAAATTTTAGAACTTGTTTGGGGAGTAAAAATGTCACACCACGAGGACGATAATGATACGTCCACGTTGGAGTGACCTTTTCGACAGGTCCACCTCGAACCTTCAGAGGTGGAGCACTTAGCCAAATCACCTTGAGTATTGTTTCTCAAATGTTCGATCTGCTCGGGTTCGATTTGTCGAATCTAACGAGCTCGATCTAATGTTCGACAAGAGTAATCGTCGGTTGTGAGGTCTATCGGATCCTATACCTATAAATAGAGGACCTCATTTCTACACCAAGTATTAAAATTCTCCTCGAACCTGATATTAAGTCCG